CAAAATTAGCACAGAAACAGTACTATATAACATTTTAGACACATTCTAGACAGTTTATCAGCTAAAAAAAGTTAATTTTGGGGTAAGTTAATCTTTAAGCATTTAGCTACCATTTTACCACTTGAGCCCTTAGCGTTTAGCCTTTAGCTACCTTTCTGCCGCTTTGACCTTTAGCAATTAGCTACCATTCAATCATTTAAGCTTTTGGGTATTATTTTGCCACTTTTAACATTTTGTTTTCATTCTACTACTTGAGCCTTTAGCATTTAGCTACCATTTTACCACTTGAACCCTTAGCATTTAGCATTTAGCTACCTTTCTGCCACTTTGACCTTTATCATTTAGCTACCATTCTATCACTTAAGCTTTTAGGTATTATTTTGCCACTTTTAGCATTTCACTATCATTCTACCACTTAAATCTTTAGCATCCAGCTACTATTCTACCTCTTAAGCTTTCAGCATTTAGCTGTTTCTGATACTTAATTTTTTTGCATTTAGCTACAATTCTACCACTTGAGCTTTTAGCATATTGCTACCTTTCTACCACTTAAAACTTTAGCATTTAGCTACCATTCTGCCACTTAAACTTTTAGGTACTATTTTGCCACTTTTAGCATTTAGCTATTATTCTACCTCTTAAGCTTTTAGCATTTAGCTGCCATTCTGCTACTTGAGCTTTTAGCATATTGCTACCTTTCTACCACTTAAATCTTTAGCGTCTAGCTACCATTCTACCTGTTAAGCTTTTAGCATTTAGCTGCCATTCGTACTATTTTGCCACTATTAGTATTTAGCTACCATTCTGCACCACTGTAATTTCTGCTCATATTTATTAATTTACAATAATTTTTTTTCTTGTGTATAATTTCAGTTTTTACATCTGTATCTTACAGAACCTTCTTTTCTCCCTGGGTGGCTCGTTCCTTTATTACGCCGACCACTTCAAGCTCTACAGTGGATTCTGTGCCAACCACATCAAAGTCCAGAAGGTTCTGGAGCGAGGTACCACTTGAGTCCAAAATATTCACATTAGATCTGCTCATTTATTGATCTGAATTTGATAAAATCTGAGAAATATAAGAGATGATTCTGTGATGCAGCAAAAACAGACGGAGCCTTTAAACACTTCCTGGAAACGAGGAATCCAACCAATCAGCACTCATCCTCCCTGGAGTCATACCTGATCAAACCTGTCCAGAGAGTCCTGAAGTACCCCCTACTGCTGAGAGAGCTGGTCTCACTAACTGATCCAGAGAGCCTGGAACACACGCACCTGAGAGGTAAATACACGCTCACCTGACAGAGCTGACAGGTAACACGCGTTCACCTGACAGACCTGACAGGTAACACATGCTCACCTGACAGGTAGCACTCGCTCACCTGACAGACCTGACAGGTAACACGCGTTCACCTGACCAGTAACATGCTCACCTGACAGGTGGCACACGCACCTGACATCACTTACTGTCCTTCCTTACCTGTCCAATCAGAGGCGCTTAGAGCGATGGAGAAGGTGGCGACTCACATCAACGAGATGCAGAAGATCTACGAGGATTACGGCTGCGTATTCGATCAGCTGGTAGCTGAGCAGAGTGGAGCTGATAAGCAGGTAAACAAACCTGCTATAAGCAGCAGCACCTGGAGGGTTAAACTGTCCTGACCCCACCCTCTTCTTTCTCCAGGTAACAGAGATCTCCATGGGGGAGTTTCTGGTCCACTCGTCTGTGGTTTGGTTGAACCCTCTACCGTCTCTGAGGCGCCTAAGGAAGGAGCCTCAGCTCACCCTGTTTGGTGGGTTAACAGATTGTAGACCACCTTTACCTGCAGCCTGTAAACCACCTTCACTTGCAGACTGTAGACCACCTTTACATGTAAACCACTTTTACTTATAGACCATCTTTACCTGTAGTCTGTAGACCATCTTTACCTGTAGTCTGTAGACCATCTTTACCTGTAGTCTGTAGACCATCTTTACCTGTAGTCTGTAGACATCTTTACCTGTAGTCTGTAGACCATCTTTACCTGTAGTCTGTAGACCATCTTTACCTGTAGTCTGTAGAACATCTGTACCTGTAGTCTGTAGAACATCTGTACCTGTAGTCTGTAGAACATCTGTACCTGTAGTCTGTAGAACATCTGTACCTGTAGTCTGTAGACCACCTTTATTTGTAGTCTGTTGACCAACTTTACCTGTAGACCACCTTTATCTGTAGTCTGTAGACCATCTTTACCTGTATAATGTAGACCACCTTTACCTGTAGTCTGTAGACCACCTTTACCTGTAGTCTGTAGACCACATTTATCTGTAGTCTGTAGACCACCTTTACCTGTAGTCTATAGACCACCTTTACTTGTAGTCTATAGACCACCTTTACTTATAGTCTATAGACCACCTTTACCTGTAGTCTGTAGACCACCTTTACCTGTAGTCTTTGGACCACCTTTACCTGTAGTCTGTAAACCACCATTACCTGTAGACCACCTTTATCTGTAGTCTGTAGACCACCTTTACCTGTAGTCTTTGGACCACCTTTATCTGTAGTCTGTAAACCACAATTACCTGTAGACTACCTTTATCTGTAGTCTGTAGACCACCTTTACATGTAGTCTTTGGACCACCTTTACCTGTAGTCTGTAAACCACCATTACCTGTAGGCCACCTTTATCTGTAGTCTGTAGACCACCTTTACCTGTAGACCACCTTTACCTGTAGTCTGTAGACCACCTTTACCTGCAGTGTGTAAACCACCTTTACCTGTAGACCACCTTTACCTGCAGTGTGTAAACCCCCTTTACCTGTAGACCACCTTTACCTGTAGTCTGTAGATACCTTTACCTGAAGTCTGTAGACCATCTTTACCTGTAGTCTGTAGACCATCTTTACCTGTAGTATGTAGACCACCTTTGCCTGCAGTCTGTAGACCACCTTTACCTGTAGTCTTTAGACCATCTTTACCTGTAATATGTAGACCAACTTTAGCTGTAGTCTGTAGACCACCTTTACCTGAAGTCTGTAGACCACCTTTACCTGAAGTCTGTAGACCACCTTCACCTGTAGTCTGTAGACCATCTTTATCCATAGTATGTACACCACCTTTATCTGTAGTCTGTAGACCACCTTTACCTGTAGTCTGTAGACCACCTTTACCTGTAGTCTGTAGACCACCTTTACCTGTAGTCTGTAGACCATCTTTACCTGTAGTCTGTTGACCACCTTTATCTATAATCTGTGGACCACCTTTACCTGTAGTCTGTACACCATCTTTACCTGTAGTCTGTAGACCACCTTTATCTGTAGACCACCTTTACCTGCAGTCTGTAGGCCATCTTTACCTGTAGTATGTAGACCACCTTTATCTGTAGACTACCTTTACCTGCAGTCTGTAGACCACCTTTACCTGCAGTCTGTAGACCACCTTTACCTGCAGTCTGTAGACCATCTTTACCTGTAGTATGTAGACCACCTTTATCTGCAGTATGTAGACCACCTTTACCTGCAGTCTGTAGACCACCTTCACCTGAAGTCTGTAGACCATATTTACCTGTAGTATGTAGACCACCTTTATCTGTATTCTGTAAACCGCCTTTACCTGTAGTCTGTAGACAATCTTTACCTGTAGTATGTAGACCACCTTTATCTGTAGACCACCTTTATCTGTAGACCACCTTTACCTGCAGTCTGTAGACCACCTTTACCTGCAGTCTGTAGACCATCTTTACCTGTAGTATGTAGACCACCTTTATCTGTAGACCACCTTTACCTGCAGTCTGTAGACCATCTTTACCTGTAGTATGTAGACCACCTTTATCTAGACCACCTTTACCTGCAGTCTGTAGACCACCTTTACCTTCAGTCTGTAGACCTTATTTACCTGTAGTATGTAGACTACCTTAATCTGTAGTCTGTAGACCACCTTTACCTGTAGTCTATAGACCACCTTTACCTGTAGTATGTAGACCACCTTTATCTGTAGACCACCTTTACCTGCCTTCTGTAGACCACCTTTACCTGCCTTCTGTAGACCACATTTACCTGCAGTCTGTAGACCTTCTTTACCTGTAGTCTGTAGACCACCTTTACCTGTAGACCAGCTTTACCTGTAGTCTATAGACCTGTTGTTTGTAAAAATAAATAATAGTAGCGGTACATGGTACAACCTCGTACTTACTGACTGGTGTAGGAAAGGTACTGGGCAGTAACATAAATATATTTGTTACCCTGTACTTTAAGTATAAGTACCAGGTACAGTACTTTGTAAGTACAGGGTTAGAATTTACTCTGTAATACAGCACTAACCCTGTAGTACCCTGTAAGTAAAACATACGTACTCAGTATGTTTTACTGTACATATGTGGTACCTGATGAGTACCAGGTAGTATTATGTTCTGATACTACATGTTTTAGTAAAGTTTGTGTAAATATTGGATCTGTTGTTTCCTCAGTGTTCAAACGAGCCGTAATCCTGGTTTATAGAGAAAACCACAAACAGAAGAAGAGGATGGTGAGTCTCTTTGATCGTCTTCATCTCCACTCAGGAGCTGAACATGGATTTATCAGAACATTATTGATCTGATTGATATTTACATTGAATCTATAAAAACTACTTCTACAGCAGCCTGTTAGTACCATAAAATAAATCGGCTGTTTTTTCTTTTGTTGTTCCAGACCAACTCCCGCTCAGCTGATCTGGATCCCTTCAGGTTCCGCTGGTTAATCCCAGTTTCTGCTCTTCAGATCAGATCAGCCAACATTCCAGGTGAGTGACGCACCTGTGTGTGTGTGTGTGTGTGTGTGTGTGTGTGTGTGTGTGTGCGTGCGTGCGTGCGTGCGTGCGTGCGTGTGTGTGTTGGGTCGGCTCGGCTCACCTTACTTTGTGTTTCAGGCTCTGGGGACCCGTGTGTGTGGGAGCTGGTCCACAGGAAGTCAGAGGTGGAAGGTCGACCAGAGACTGTGTTTCAGCTGTGCAGCAGGTACCGTCCCGTGGGCTGAATCTGGTCCAGTTTTTGCGTTGATCCGGTCCAGGTTCATAATAAAACCTCAATGCATCACTGAGTTTTGATCTGAACGAATGGTGGAGCTTCAGCTGCTCTTTGTGTTTCAGCGGTTTGGAGACGAAGGCCGGCGTGCTCAGAGTTCTGAGCTCCCTCCTCAGAGACCGAGCCCCCGGCGCCTCCCTGAGGAGATCCAAGCTGTCGAAAACAGAGCGGAGCAGCAGCTGGAGGCGGAGGCAGCACCGTGGACGCTCCGACCTCCAGAGGACGCATCCTACTCCGACGGAGCGGAGCCGCAGACCCGACGGCGTCCTGAACGAAACCTGCTCTGAGCCTCTGCTGCCGAGCCACGCCCCCTCCGACAGCTCCGCCTCCGGGAGGAGAACCAGGCTCTGCTCCCTGACCGGCGAGCTGGAGGCGCAGCTGCAGCGGCTGAACTTCGCTGAGGAGGACGAGGAGGAGAGACGAAGCTCGAGTCTGAGGCGGAGTCCTGCAGGAGACGGGCTGGACTTCAGTTTCCTGGAAAAAGACTTCAGCCTCCAGAGCCTGAAGTCTGTGGTGAACGAGGACTGTTTCTACGACTCGGTGCTCAGGAGCCAGACGGCTGAGAAAGCTAACATGCTAACATGCTAACATGGAGTCTGAAGAAATGGATAGTTTCAGCTCATTCTACTGAAGGATTCACAAAAACAAACCTCGACCTCTTCAAGGTCGTTTTCTATAGAAGCCTTCTGATTGGCTGAACCCTCTGTTTTATAAGAACTTACAGTCAAATCATCTGGATTTTATTCATGTTTGTTTTCAACAGGGGAACTTCACAACAACCGGAATCTACAGGAGTTAAAAGTATAGAAAACTAAAGGAATTTTCATATATTAAACCTTTAAAAACTCAGAGATCTGCACACAGACAAGAAACCACAAAAACTTAACGTTGTGATGTAACAATAAAACTAAATTCTGAGAAGCAATTCAAAGCAAGTTTTTAAAAAGCAGAAATTTATAAAAACAACTTATGAATCTGATAATAAGAGCAAAGAAAGATCAGCTGTTCAAAAGCTGAGTCAAAATTTAAATTTATTGTTGAATTT